GAGTACCTGAGATTGATCATAAGGACTGTTAGAATCACAGTTTGATGGGTAAGAGCCATCATTATTATTTGGCCAAAGTCCATGGATTCCAAAATCTGATGCTGGTTTTCCAGTTTTGGGGTAACAACAACTTTGTTTAGTATCACAGTATGATCCTGGCCACTGCATAAAAGATAAAAGACATATATTAATTAAAAATAACTAAAGTAAAACAGAGAAAAATTACATCTAAATATTTAAGAAGTAATTAACTAGATTGGTCGTAAACCTGTTGAACAAAGTAGAAAAAGTCAAAATCTTGAGCAGCAGTGAGGACTGATAAACACTGCGTAATAAGAAATAGTGTCAAGAACCGAGAAGTGGCTGAATTGGAAGCCATTGTCGTCTATTTTCTTATAAAATTGAAACTTCTTTTGTGAACTTTAAAAGAGGGTATTGGTACTGATTTTTGACTTGTTTATTTATAGAAAAATAATGAAGATGTGAACAGATTACTTATAAGTGTGAAATTGAGGTCAGGATATTTGGTGATTGGTATTATAATCTGATTCTATATTTTATCCCTATTAGTGCTGCTGATGTTGACAATGAGAAGATGGTAATTATTAATTTTGGTATATTCTTTAAGCATATGATATGACGGTATTCTTTTATTGGGTTAATGATATTTTATGTTAATTTGGGCTGATTTTAAGGAAACATTTTTGATTTTTTCCTTTTAAAAAAGCTTTCTTAATCTCGGAAGATTGAAAGTTGTCATAAAGTGTGTTCTTTGTATTAAGATAATTAAGTTCATTAAAAGGCAAATAAAAGCATTCATATGAAAGATACAGGTGTATATTTTTTTTTTATTAATTTATTCAAAGGGCTGATTGATGCTTTCAGACTTGCACGTCCCTCGTGAATTAATTGTATTAATAGACATTATGTTCTCCATATCTGCCCCTTAATAATTGAGTTTAAGCTCACATAAATATGGTATAATGTTTTTTTTTTAAAAAAGTTAAGTTGATTTACAATACAATATGAAATGTCGATCGATATTTTTACCGTTTAAATATAGATCTCATATGGGATAAAGTTATCATATAATTATTTCTTATATTTAGGATTTGTAATTAATTAAATTTTGGTTTTAAAATCTTTTTTTTATTTCAACTAAGCTAAGAACTCCTAATAGTTATGTAATAAATTACATTTGAGTAAAATTTTATTTATAATAAATTCGTCGCCTAATATTTAGTAGTGATTTAGATTTGAGTAGATTTTTAAAATAAATTCCTTGACTAATATTTAGTAATTTAAATTCGAGTAAGATTTTATTTATGATAAGTTACTTCCTATTATTTAGTAATTTTAATTTGAGTAGATTCTTATAATAAGTTCCTTGCCTAACATTTAGTAATTTAAATATGAGCAAGATTTTATTTATAATAAATTCCTCACTTAGTAATTTAAGTTTGAGCAAGATTTTATTTAAAATAAATTTCTTGCTAATATTTAGTAATTTAAATATGAGCAAGATTTTATTTAAAATAAATTTCTTGCTAATATTTAGTAATTTAAATTTTAGGGTCTTGTCTAATATTTAAGACTTTAAAATCAACTATAATTTATAGATAATTTTATAACTGAATGTAATTGAAAATGAAAAAGATGCACTTTATTTTTGGGCATATAAACCAATTGACAATTTATATTGGTAATAGTCCGGAGCATGTTTATCGAATTCTTATTGCATAATTCTTTAAAAATTTTAAAAATGGTATTACAAAGGCAATTTAAAAGTAACTTTGAAAGCTCGAAAGGTTTAAATGTTGGAAGAATAGATTTGCAGGGAACAGAAATTCGCGATTTTGATAGTATAGTCATTGTTCTTAAGGAATTTACATATCCTAGTATGTTGTTATTGGGGTTATATCATAATTCCTTCAAACTTTTTACATAGCAAAAACCGAAATTCAATATTTCAGCAATAACTTGAATTTTCACTAAAACACGTTTGTGAATTGTTTGAGAAGAAGGAAAATAATTGCTAGCAGGAATCTGATTTGGTGTGTGTTAATACGTTTTAGAGGTATAAACAAGAACTTATAATACCATAAGAGTTTGTTAAGTCAACAATAACTCAGTGCAATCCCACAAGTAAGGTCTGGGGATGGTAGGATGCACGCAGTCTTATCTCTACCCTGGAAGGGCAAAGATACTAATAAGTCATGTTCATTAAAAATAAACATATCTCTTTAGAACATGCACTTCTAACAATCAACGGTGGGGATTGGAATATTCAAAAAAACTCTTAAATGGAGTATATCTTCAAGGGTTATTTATCTTCGAAGTATAATAACTTGTGAGATTGAAATAGCGAGCATAATAACTTTTAAAGTAGCAAGATGATTAAGGAGCATTCAAAATAAATTTTAAGTTAAATATCTGGACTAAGATGATTGAGAACTTCTATGGCATATTTTTTCTTCTTTTATTGATTTAACTAAATAGGGTCAACAATTATTATTTTAGGAATTTACATTTTTTAAACATTTTTTGTATAACTCAAACGAGTTGAGGATTTATTGGAAACAACATCTTTACTCCACAAAGGTAGATGTCAGATCTGCGCATACCCCATCCTCTCAGACCTCACTTGTGAGATCACACTGAGTATTGTTATTATTGTTGTTGATGGTATAACTCAAACACAATTTTTAATATAGTTTTTATTTAATTTTTTAAAATTTTATACTCATTGAAACGGATACACAAGTAATAAACGTAACCAAAGACTATTCTTTAAAAATAGAGTTATAAATACTCGTAATAAGTTAAGTGCACTGATAATTTAAAAATTCTTTCGATATATATAATTTGAATTCTTAATAATTTAAGCATTTGTATGTGAACGAACACATGGAAGAGTTGGCTTTGACAAGCAGCATACTTGCACCTTGACCATTTAGGCCAATAGACAACTTTCTTTCACATCTCACCATTTTATAGAGTCCAAAATATAGCACTCTTCTTCTATTCAATCAATAGCAGCATGATTTTCTGTCTTGTTCTTTGTTTGTTTGTTGTTATTTTTCCTCCACATCTAATGAAATATCACTATTTTATTATTGAGTTTAAATTTTATATACTAACGATGTAAACATATTTATACAATCAGATCATTTAAAAAGTAATACATGTAATTTTATTTAATTATATTGATTAGTAACCTAGAATAAACGGTAAATAGCATGCTTTAAATTGTTAAATTTACATTGATTATACGGTACAAGTGTAATAAAAATTAAATTTTTAAGTTTACGTTGATTGTGTAAAAAATTCATTACATTATCAGTAATATAACTTAAAATCTTTTTATATTTAGTTTGGACGTTTCTTGAGGCCTTGGGGTACTCTGACAACTAATGCTCCGTTCAACCATGGCATTGCAATAGCCCATAAGAATATGCTCCAATCTTGAGAAAAAGAAACCACCAATTTGACAAAGTTGTACAATATGAAACCTTGCTGTTGAACTAGATAGAAACAAATCTTTCAGGTAAGCACAACGTAGACCAGGCACGTATTTTATGTGGTATCGATTAATTGATTTATCCATTATAAACACATGTCCATGAGTCGATGCTAATTCTGCCCCTGTTTGTTCCTTTGCAATTAAAGGTATTGAGATAATGATCTTGAGTTATCATACAAAAGTCAACCTGGTGTACCAAATTCGTCGACATTACATTAAGTTCCAATAATGCAACAAGCTGCATCTATACCATAGTCCATTGAGATTTTTACCTAGTTATACTATATTAGAAACTTATTAACTACTTTTCTTTATGTTTCTTAAAAATTACATTGTGTATCTATATTTACTATTCATGTACAAAATCATGATAAAATAATATCTCTTAAATATAGGGATTAGTTTGTAATTGTATCCCCTCATCCCCATCTATCAGCTTAATTAGCCTCTTACAATCACGATTTTATTCCCAATTTCAAAAGATTTTAAAGTCATTCTCTCTTTCATACAAATCAACCAATCTCTCTCTCTCTCTCTCTTTCATACAAATCAAACTATTATCTCTCTAAAATTGTAGCATCATATATTTCTCTGAATTAATTCTATCAACAACCATTAAAAAGTTTCAACTATTGACAAATCCATCGACATTATCTCTGAAATTGCAGGTAGAGAGGTCTGCCATTGACATACCATTAAAAAGTTTAGAAACTTTGAATTAGATATCTGGATTTTACGAATTTGTGATTTTCTTGGAATGGATGTTCTTGAAAACGATTGAAAATATCTTTTAAGGTCCATATCTCAATTTTAAGGGAGATTGGTTAAGTTTAAAGTTGGTTTTAGGTAGAACTTCAGATTGAAACTCGAGGAAGAAGAAGTTTCGGAATTGTATTACGATTGTATGATAAATATATCATAATTGTATCTGAATTGTATTTGATACATCAATACCTAAGATAATTCTGATACAATACTAATACTATTATAATACAATATTGTATCATAATTTAAGTTTAGAGTTGGTTCTAGGCGGATGTTTTAGATTGAAATTTGAAAAAGATGAAGATCAAAATTGTATCATAATTAAGAATTGTATAACGATTGTATCATAATTGTATCACAATGTGTACCTAAAACAATAAATGATATAATACTAATACAAGTATAATACGATATTGTATCAGTTTAAGTTTAGAGTTGGTTTTAAGTTGTATCGTAATTGTATTAGAATTATGTAAGAATTCTTTCAGGATTATATCAAATTTGTATCTGAATTGTATTTGATGCATCAATACATGAAAAAGTACTTGATACAACACTAATACAAGTACAATACAATCTTGTGCCAAAATTATATTAGTTTTTAGAGTAGTAACGTGTATAGCTAGAAAATTTTTAGATTTCCTATAATTACTGTGATGGATCTTCAAAATTGTATTGGATCAAAAATGTTACCGTACAAAAAATAACCATTTCCTTGGTTTCATTTCTATGGCGAGTATGACTTCTTTTTTGGTTCAAGACTTTTTTTGTCCATTTGTATTTTTCTTGTGGTTTCTTATACCAAAAGCGAGTATCTAGCTTGTATAGAGTTTTCGAGAAATTGGAAGAAAGAATTTGGTGAAATAATATTGGAAGAAGAAGTTGCTTCCAGATCTGTAGAAGAAAAGGGAGGGAGGGGAGTAGAAAAAAAAAGGAAAGGATATAATTCAATCCCTTAATTGAAGGTGCTAATAATGGGGTGAGAGCTTTTTAAGGGGGAATACATACAGTTTGTAAAAAAAAATCTAGATACTCTTTAAAAACTAGAAAACCTAGAGAAAATAGATAAATAAATTTCTATTATAGTATACATAGGAAAAACTCCCTTAAATACCAGGACCGGCCTGGTTATGTTGGGCCTCAAGCTTAACTAGGGCGGTTAACTCTTTTGAGACGATGAAACTAACC